AAATGTTCTTTAATCTCAATAAAAGAATATGAAATATATTATAGAGAGAGTAAGGGTCGATCAACAGGGACAAGGAGGTTGACGAATTCCTCGCTTTTGATCTTGCTTCAAGCGTCATTTGTAGAGAAGTAAAACGTGGATTTTGAGAGTTGAAATAAAAATAATATTTGATTCAAAGAAAATAAAGAAAGTAAATTAATTAGATTAAAGTAAAATTCAATTGGTAAAATCAGTCTTCGGCTAAAGCTTCTGCCTATATTTAAATCGATCCTTGAATAGGATTTTACCTTAGAGCTCACGCTCGTTACAGTCTACAGAGTCCAACCCCTGTAACTTGCTTTTCTCTCAAATAAATCGATAATCTAAAATCAATTTCTAGATCTCAACTCTTTGTGAACTAATTGTGACAATCGCTTATCAATGCAACGCCTTTAAATTCTGAAAAACCCCGACTCGTATCGTACCGTATCAATCGAGAATCTAACCCGAATTCAGTTTCACTTAGCAAACCGCCGCTAAGTGTGATCAGAGGAAGTCGAATGTGCCACAGGCCGATCCTTTCTCCCAATTATTAATCGAAACTAAAATTTAATTCCAACGTGCACTTTTTGAAATGAAATCGCTTTGATTTTAAAAGGATGGTTGATTACTAATCCTAGATTTTCGAAAACTAAAACTGTAACCCTAAAGAACATGATGTGTTTTTCGATCCTCACGATTTAGAATCGTGTCATTGCATTAGTCTTTAGCTATGGGAAACTTAGCTAATCATGGTAGAAACCGTACTCAACATTTTTAAAGTAAACTTGAAAGGAAATTAAAACGAATGAAAACCTTTTATAAAACTTAAAGAAAGAAATAAATAGGAGTTGAATGATCTCAATGATCGAGTGATGAATGAATTGGTTGATGCTTTGAGGCTTACCCCAATAGGGTCGTAGAAGTTAATGAAACTGCACGTGAAGTTCTTGTCACTCCTATACCATCAACAAACCTCCGATTGATAAATCTGCTGGACTCTTTGAAAAAGTCAAAATTCCAAATGCATAAGATTCCCCCAGTGGATCCTTCTGTAGGGCTGAATGCCCATTCGAAATTTCCATTTCCCCACCGTTTTCTGCACATCAATAAACTGAAGTCTTCCAAATTCGTTTCTGAAAAAAAATTCTGACTTTCACCTTCCTGCTTATCCTATTTGCTGCTCTGGATTATTCTGACCTCCCAAAACCCCTCACATTCCAAGTTACTAATGAGCAAATCATAAGAAACAATGCAAAACCCCAAAAATAATTCTGAGCATTGATGATCAGACCATCCTCCTCATAACAGACAACTCCTCACTCATTTCATCATTTAAAAATGATGTTTTAACATCAAACTGTTACACCGGCCATTATGTTTGTGCAGCCAAGCCTAGAAAAGTTCGCATTGTTTCAAAACAAGCAATGGGAGCAAATGTATCATCAAAATCAATACTTTTCTATTGAGTATACCCTTTAGCCACCAATCAAGCTTTATTCTTCTCGACACTCCTATCTGAATTGCATTTTGTTTTGAACACCCATTCCAACCAAATAGCTTTTGTTACCGTCATGCATCCCTGCAAGCATCCATGTTTCATTTTTCTCGATTGTCATGATTTCTTCCTTCATTGCTCTACATCAAATCTTTATTTTCTACTGCTTTTATAAAAGTGAGTGGATTTGAAACTGCAAAGGCAAAATTGCAAGTCTTATAAATCTCTTTTAGGGGTCTGTATTTTAGTGAAGGTGTTTCATTAGAAGACTGACTAGCAGATGATGGTGAGTTTCTAGAGCTAGTGTTTAGGGGACTGTTTGGTGGATTGTCATTGTCTGTTAAGCTATTTTAAAGCTTTTATACCGAAATATCATACTAACAGGTAATAATTACATGTCAGACACCCTTTCTCCAAATTTTACCGATCTAGCACCCTTTCTGATAAGGCATGGATCGTCATACGCGCCTTTGCGGGGTTTCGTCCGAGCTGACACCATGTAAGGACAGGCGTGAATCTCCATCCACGCCTTTCTAGAGTTTCTGACACGTGCCAATAAGCGCGGATCACCATTCGCGCCTTCCATTAATACCCCCAATCGTTCACACCTTCCACACTAATACCCAACCAGCTAAACCACCTCCCCTCTCCCTATAAATACTCCCTCACTTCTTCATTCAAACACACACCAAACACAAACATCCAAATCTTCTCAATGCTCAAATCCGCTCAAATTCTCCCAAAGCTCAAATTATATTAAGAAGATAAAATATTTTATTATATTATAATAAATTAATAATTTATTATTTTATTAAATTTTATTATATTAACTTTTTATGAATTTTTGCGGTTATAAAATAGAAAGCGATTTACTACGTTTAGATGTATATCATATCTCGAGACATTTTATTGATACGGTAATAATTATATTTTAATTTTAATTATTGTTAATATTTTATTTATTTAATTTATTTAGTATTAATTTATATTTTAATTTCTATAATATTTATTAAATTAGGAGAGAAACGTATATTAGATCTCTCTATTCGTAATCTTAAGTTAGATATAACAAACCGTGTATGATCGTACTTAGTCGAAGCTGAATTCGATTACGTAGCAATCTGGATCCATAAGCAAGATACTGAAATTAACAGATTTAAGCAGTCAAGTCTATAGTAAAGTAAATGAAAGAAGAGAAAAGACACTCATTAGACATTGAAAAATGTGATCATCAAAACAATGAATCAAAGCCCAACCATTCACTTCAAATTTCAAAAGAGATGAAGCATTTAGGCCATATTTTTTTAATTTGAGTGAGAAAATGCTCTTATTGAAGGAAGGGGGGAAAACCTGGTTGGAGGGCGTAGGCGAAAAAGAAACATGTTGGACACCGGGGGATGAAGATGAAGAGAGAGCCACCGTGGAAGCAGCGAGAGCAAGCGCAACAAGAGGTCCAGATCCCTTCATTTTTCCCCAGTTCCTTTCTATTTCAGCGATAGAAACTCAGATCGAGAGTGATTCCTTTCCGACAAATGGGTGACATCCAACGAGCTTCGCCGGATCTCAACCAGTTGTTTTCCCCTTCTCTTAACTTCCTTTGCGTAAAATCATATCGACCTTCCTTGTGAATGGAGTCTTTATATTTTTCTCAGAATACGCCACAACTCCTCAGTTCCTAAACAATTAATGGAATTTAATTTTACTCTTAGGTTCGATCTCATTTTCTTGAAAAAAATTGTGTAGCTTTCACTGCCACGTCGATTATAAGGCACCCTCCACTATTCTGAACCAATAGGGAATGACAGCGTGTGCTTAAGTATTTGCCAGTATGACTTGAGGAAAATGACATAAATATAAAATACATTGAACATATCATAAATGGTTGAATTCTATTTAAATAATTATTTTAATTATTAAAATTTTAAAAATTATTAAAATTATTATAAATAACATTATAATATTATTATAAATATATAAAATTTTATAATAAATATAACAATTAATAAATTTAATGATTATTTTAAGTAAATATAATTCAATAAGTTATAATATAACGTAGGCTTAATATAAAAATAAGTTATATTTTTATGTATTTATGTCGTAATGGTTGTTAAAAAAAATTATTAAGTGACATGTGTTGTATTTATATATATATATATATATATATTTTTTTTTAAAAAAAATAAATATATTTTTATTTAAAAACCTTAATTCTACAAAAATATCAAAAATTACCCTAAAATCCCAAACGAAATTCATCAATTCCGTCCACATCCACCACCCGAAAATAATGACTTTTTTATCGAAATATTACCTGTCAGACATCCTTTAGCCTTTCAATCATATCACTCAAAATAACTGATTACACACAGGTCTTGGAGGATAAAACCTAATTCTAATACTAAAAATATTGAAAATAAAACAATGAAAAAAATAAATATGACAGTAAGTATGAATGTAGAATGAATACTACACACTTTATTCAAAAGAAATATCCTTATTTATAAGCATACAAAGTACTACTTAAAAGAAAAAAATCTCAACTAAACAAATATATATCAAGGAGTAAAACAAGTCAACTACTGAATATGATCATATCAAAGTTGTTATGAATAAACAGAATTCAACATCCATTTCTATCCCGAACCATCATTTTCTTATGTTTTTCAGGAAAACTTCACACCAGCACTTTCTCTCAACAAAAGCGATTCCCAAGAAATGCTTCTTTCTGGAGTTTTAAATCACTTCCAGCTGAAAACTCAATGATACTACATCGGTCAATCATTTTCTAGATGATAACGAGGTGAAGTCCAAAATGTTTCCCAAGAAAATGTTTCGCCAGTGATGAACAATGGTTGCCAATTATTGGGTTTTTGATGTTGCTGTATTTTTTTTTTTTGCTCGATAAGATAAATTTATTAATCAAACCTATAAGTTAAGTGCCTCCTTAAATTTGATGGTGCTGCTGGTGATGAATCTACACCCTTATATAAATTAAGTTTTTGAATTTTAAACAAATAAAATTTTAAATCAACTATCAATTTTAATTAAAAAATCATGCTTTAATTATATTTTTTATTAGAACTAAGACCAAATTTTAATAAAAGATCAATAGTCCATTGGTCATTAGAATTTTTAATATTTATTTAATAAAAGCAATTTAATTAATAATTTTAGTTTTCGGCGTGCGATGTTTTGATTATAGAATTTTCCCTCAACAACTATGCAAACTGTCTACTCTCCAAAAGTAGGATTGATTTCTACAAAATCAAGTAAAAGAAAATGAGTGGCTTTTTCTAGTTCTTTTATTCTATTCCTCCACGTAACCTGGAAACAAACAAAATTAACCAACTTTAAAATAAGTTTAGATTCGTTGAGGCACGAAAACGCGTTTCCCGTATAGTGATTCTTTTCACGCGTAAAGACTGTTGAAAGTTTCTATAAGTTTAACCATTGAACGTACCAGGTAATTTGCAATTGCAAGTATCAATTCTCTCGACGTAACTTTTTTCTACTATGGTAACATTTTGCTTTATATTCCTAGATGCAGTATTTTTTTTTCCTTTTCATTTTTTTTATAACCGAAGTTAATGTATCTGAAAGTGGGGCTTGTTCTTCTTTTCGTTTGGTTGTGAACACTCTTCTTTTCCATTTAAGATTATAAAGGTTTTTAACCAGGCTCTCACTAATAAAATTATAGCTGAGCAAAGAAAATGTATCTGAAAGATTGTTATTTCCCCTGTTTGAACGCCATGAAACGTCCAGCTCTACCTTTTTGCTTGTTTTTATATCTTTATTTTGTGTAGTAAAATAAATGTTGTTCTTAGAAGTTTTGGTTCCAACAGATAAATATTATCCTATAATTATTTTGTAATAATAATAAAAAAATATTATACGTTTATTTTGCATGTTGGATACAGGGTTTACTTAAGACAATGAAAGCTGAATTGGAAATAATGCGACGTGAGAAGATATACATGGAAGCATTCCTGACAGCTGCGGAAAGTGCACTCGAAGAGAAAAGGAGACTTCTTACAATGTATAAAGCCATGGCAAAACTTGCTGATGATTTTCTGGACGTTTTAGTGGAAGCAGGATGTGTTGATAACGTTGATGAAAGTAACGACCAGGAGCTTGACGATGAAACCATGAAGGAATTGGTGGAGGAAGCTATAAGGGACTTTAATGAAGCGTTGAACGAAGCGCAATCTCGAAGGATCAACCCCAAGGGTGGCGGAAACGGTGGAGGGTATGACGGTGGCTCCGGTGATGATCACAACCTCGATGGAACCAATACTAATATAGGGAAAGAAGCTGGTGGAAGCGGCGGTGGCGATAAGGGTGGCGGCGGTGGTGGCCACGTAGTATAGGTCGAGTGCTCTCGGGTTTATAAGGTTTTACAAAAATGAATAAAAAGATCGGTTAGGAGTATCTTTTGTGAAGCACGAATTTTTCCTTTGGGTTAGAAGTCCTTTCCTTCTATTATCAAATTAATTACGATTAAAGAAAAACAGTTAATGGTCATGTGAGTGGTTAGTTATAAAAAAATTAATAAAAGTGCTAAAATAAATGTGTTAGATATTTTCTAGCATGTATTTCATATTTCATTAATTTATTTACTTAAATTGCAAATTTTAATATTTTATTATAACTTTATCGGTTATAAGTTATAATTAAAGTACGAACCAATTTACCTCAATGGTTAAAAGAATCGATTTTGTTCCTAAAGGTCATGGGTTTGAGTATCAACGGTTGTAGCAGGGTAATTCAATGTTCATTGTCAAATGATTGAGAATATTTAGAACCTATACTACTTTGAAATCACTTTAGTTTAATAAAAAAAGTTATAATTAAATATATGTGAATCACAATTAACTAATCATATATACATGTTATGTTATAAAATATATAAATTATTTTTTATTCAAATATAATTCATTAATTTTATTAAGAAATAGAAAATACCTAAAATTATAACAAAGGTTTACAATTATAAATTTAAACTAAACAAATAATTAGGATATTTTTTTATAATCATTGATATAAGAAATTAGCCACTAAAAATAATATATATTATTCGAGTTTTTCAAATGCTATTTTAACCATTTTATTGTACGATCCTTATATGATTGAGAGTTCTCTTTCTATATATAAAATTGTGATCACAAATATTGCGATGTTGAATTTATCATGTCTCGAGCATACAATAAGTGTACAATGGAAAGTCTAAACAAGTTATCAAATGACAACATGCACTAAGAATATGATTTAGTATTTATATTTTAGGAGGATAAAATTTTACTCGTAATGGATGAACACTAATTATTATGAAATCCACCTATATGTACATGAAACAATATGAGCGCGTGATCATAACCATGTTAAAAAAATAAATTCTCATTCTAATATTTTACGGTTATGAGTGTAATTTTTTTCGATATTGACTTTAAGAATGATGATTCAAACAATTAACCACCATTTACTTTGTTATACTTTGAAAATTTGAACTAAAAGAAGGTTCAATCTGCAAACACCCTCTTCTGTGCATAATCATTGTGTACTTATTTTATAGAACTAACAATATTGTCGGGGATTGTTAAAATTTATAGATTATAAAGTAGTTAATTGAACATTATTTAAGAGTGATAGTTTATCATCATCTAAGGGATATATCTCCTGACATCTATTATATGAAAGGTTGTGATCATTCAAAATGATGTTTATTACATGGAAGGTTGCGACTAGGGGTGTAAACGAGTCGATTCGAGCTCGAGTATTATTGAGTTCGACTCTAACTCGAAAATTATAAATCTAAGCACTCGACTCGAAAACTCAAGAGCCTAAAATTTTCAAGCTCGACTCGAACTCAAAAGATAATATTGAAACTCGACTCGAACTCGAAAAAGCTCAAACTCAAAAAAAATTCAAGAGCTCGACTGCTCGAAACTCGAACTCAATTGAAGCTCGATTTTGAGCTCGATTCTAAGCTCAACGGGTTTTATTTTCCTTTATTGAAACCCATCCACTTTTATACACTCACTTTACCCCTTATTTCCCAAGAACCAACGATGTGGGATATCAAACCAACTCAAGTTCAACGCTAAGTCTGACAATCTCAACAATTTGCCTTATCTGATCTAACATTGGTCTATAAAAACAGAAAAAGATCCTATTAGCTTCTGCAATAGCCTTCAATGGCTTCCATCATTATACCAATACTCATCTTCTTTTTCTTCTCTTCAACTTTCTCTCTCAACGTTTCTTCAAAAAATTCTCTGAACCCAAATCTCACTTCCATACGAAGCTTCTGCAAATCAACTCCATACCCAGGTTCTTGTTTCGATTCACTGAAGCTTTCCATTTCAGTAAACATCAGTTCCAACAACACTGCATTATCCGAGGCTGCGAAGCTAACAAGTTTATTCTCCAATGACGGAATTGGAAACGTGATCGTCGAGAAACAAAGAGGAGCATTGCAAGATTGCATGGAACTCCATGAATCAACACTATCTTTGTTGAAAAAAACAGTGTTGAGAATCGAAGATGAACACAAGCAAACCTAGTCTATGTTGCTCTAGTGTATGAAACATTTATTCGAGGATATGACCTCCAAATACATGGAACACCCAAGTAAAATATATACTCGTATTCAACATTTATACTCCAACCCAAGTAACGTAGACTACAGTAACAAAGGAACACAAGCAAGCCATTCAAGCCTCTAATAGTTTACATTCATCTTAGAAGATAAATATCAAACTGAGCAGTGTAAAAAATTACAACAGAAAGAAGTGAAACTAGAAAGGAAATGAACTCAACTTGCTTTTCGTTCCCTGCAGAAAGTCCATAATCAGCAAGCAGGTACAAGAGGAAAATTTTGTTCCAGACATCAAGTAAGCCAGGAAGACACCAATGGCTACAATCAGGTACCAACGGATTGTCACTCCACCCACCCATATGTGCATCTCTCCGGAAGGCTGACATTGACGTTACTTGCAGAATGGTTATGGGGATAGTCATATTCTTTACCACATCAAATACAGTCTCTGAGAAAATGCTTTGATCCCTCCCTTCGGTTTCTAACAATGGATTTTGGGTCACATTGCAAAACCTGCGGGATTTTTCACTGATGCAGAAACCAAAAAATAGTAATGATTTGTAAATTGACAAACATAGTTCATTTGGAAATTAACCAAATAAGCAAATATTGTAATAGATAATATGTAGTTAAATAGTGTTAGATTATTGACCGCGCAAGGAACCCATGAAATAGACCCAACTCCAAAGCCTTTTTATCAGAAGATTGAAGAATGAAAAAAATATTTGGGAAACTGTGAAGCAGATATCAAGTTGTGAAGCAGTTCAAATTGTACATAGAAATCAATTCAGGATTGTTTGTTGAAAAAGAGAAAAAATTGCAACATATGTGTGTGTATGCCACTGATTAACAGGATGGCAATCCAAAATAAGGACAAAAAACTTATTTAATTTAGCAACCATTGGATGTATTTTCTGAAAGAGCATTATGGTGCATCAGAGCATTCCTCTCAGTCATAGGTGCAAGTGTCATAGTATTATTGGTTACCTCTAGTGCGATGGCTCGAATGTTCGGAAGAAGACAAGTGTTCTGTTGGCGTCAATCGTGTTCTCAACCCATGATGCCCACGTACTTAATGTTGTTTTATAGGCAACAGGAATTGACATTCCAAGCTTTACTGAGTTCCCAACCTGGAAGTAGAAACCACTGCCAAAGAAGACATTTAGGAAATTTTCTTGCATGTGTATGTAAAAGCATCTGGGAAATGTTTTTTCAGCTAGTCATAGTAAGTTCAATGGATACTAAATGGTAAAAATAAATAACACATTTCAAGTATATTTTTTAAAATATCAATAATTTTGTAACAAAAGGAAATGTTGTTCTCCATAAAGGTTTTGGGTTTAAATAAATGTATATGTAGGATGTGTGAGAATTGTTAATTGATTAAGAAAATTGTAAACATATATTACTTTATAACTATCCCAAATTCTACTTCCATTCTAAAACACTTTAATTGTTTATAATTATATATATCATAATCTCATCATTTCTATTAAAAAAAATGGTGATTGTATGATATTGATGTTAACCTGTTGACTAGGGTATGATAAAATATGATCCCATCGTTTTAGTTGTATTTGTACATCAAATCTACATTTACATTATTGTTGAGTTAATTGATTGACGGAATCGGCCAAGAAGGGGGTGAATTGGCAATAAAAATTTTGGTGGAAGCTTTTGCAGAAAATTGAAAGAAATTGCCTTTCTCAACCAAAGTCTACGTCCACTACCTTAGCTATCCACACTAAGGATTTTCCATAAATTCACTAATTTGTCTTTCTTTTGAGGACAAAGAGTAACCTTACAAACCCTCAAGAATTATACCCCAAATTCTTGAGAACACTTTTTCCCAAAGAGAACAATACAAATTTGCAAACTTACAAGGAAATCCTCAAAAGGTAGATTGTTTGCACAATTCTAGAACAAAGAAAAGAACACTCAAAAATGAATACAATTGAGCACAATAAGTGTTCTTGAAAGCAAAATGAATATTGAATGAAAAAATAGGCTTGAAATGCTCAAACTTGAGGTTTGATGCTTTCTCTTTGATTCTCTCTTGATTCTAGTTGCTTGATGTTTCTTGTTTTTGATCAATGGCTTCTAAGCTTGCTTAAATACACCTTGAATCACTTCTGAACGTTGGAGATCATTAATGAAGATAATATAGCCGTTTTAGTGTAAAATCAATTAATAAAACAGTTTGGAGCGTGGGGGGAATCGGTACCCCTTGAGGGGAATCGGTTCCCTAAGTGTAAAATTCAAATATTTTGACCGTTGAATAGTGGGGGGAATCGGTACCCCTGGGGGGAATCGGTTCCCTCCGAGCATACTGGAATTCTTGGAGCCAAACCATTCAGGGGGGAATCGGTTCCCTCTGAGCAATCTGGAATTTTTGGCTTTGAAACGGTTCGAAATACTTTGTAAAATTATTTTGAAATGTTTTAAATTAATTAAAACTTAATTTTACACTTGAGTAAGAATTAAAAATGACTTTTGAAAGATTTAGAGTAATGTTTTGATATTCGAATAATTATATCGAATATATTAGAAAATCATTTTGGAAAATCTTAAAATTCATTTAACTTAATTTGTTATATCGAAATATCAAAATGTTTTCAACAATCTCCCCCTTTTTGATATAACAAAACATTTTAGTAATTTTAAGATTTTGAAATCAAGTTTTGAAATGATTTTGAAATCAAGTTTTGAAATGATTTTGAAATCAAGTTTTGAAATTACTCCCCCTTACTTTAACACTTCTTCCATTTAAAATATTTAACACTTCTCCCCCTTTTTGTTAAATCAAAAAGACAGTTTAAAAGAATTTAAATAAGGTTTTCAAATCATTTAGCCTATTTGAATATATATAGTTTAAGCTGCTAAGATCACAATTAAGAGAAATATTAGCCATTAGTTTCATAATCAATATT